CTCTTACCAAGTTTCCGATACATCACATAAGGCATAATATTAATCGCAGCCCCTCCGTCGATAAGTATCTTAGATACAGGCTGCCCATCAACTCTGCCTTTCACAAACAAAGCCTTAAGATGCTGTCTCTCGTCATCGGTAGGTTTCTCAAAAACAACCATCATTGGACTAGTGTCAACTGAGCTACTTGATCAGAGAGAACAACTTCTTCCTCATTATCAGATAGTGCCAAAAACTCCATTAGCAACATGAATACCATATTAACATCTGCCGATGGACCCTTATTTTTGTGTTTTACCTGCCACAGCTGATGACCAGACCTCTCATTGGAGGAATTTTCCTCTCGGTATAAATCTTCCTGATGCTCATGTTGCATCCTCCTTTTCTGTGTCTTTGTCAGACCCTTCGGGCACCATCGAGGAAACTTGGTCTTCCAAACCGGCTGATAACAGATCCCAATTGATTCTACACGGCGTATATTAGGGTCCCTATAGAATATTTCTTCATCGGGAACTCTTGCGTTTGCCATCTCCTCAAGCTCCTCTTGATTCCTTGGAAAATATCCAGCGCGTTTACCAAGCCTCTCATGTACACTAAGTCTGCCCCCCAGCCGATCATGCACTGATGCTCTACCTCTGATCGGCTCATTGATAAATAAACCCTGATTGCCATGTTGAAACCTCCTTTCTGACCGATTGACCCCATAATAACCATTGCACTCAGGGTAATTTTCAACAATTGGCAATTTAATATCTTCTTCCCAGCAATGGATGAAAAACGGACACCTCCAATGATCTTTATGCCGATTCCATTCTTCCCGACGTCTCTCTTCTTGCTGTTGTCGATATCGGTCCTTACGCTGACGCCAACCCTCCTGCTGCCTTCGATGGGTAATCACAATGCCAGGTCGAGGAGGGTTTTTGGAACTACTGCTTTCTCCCAGCAAACCCTTACTTTTTGCATCATCGGTAGTTATCCGATGTTGGGGATCCACTGATGTGTTTTTCTCAGCAGCCTCTGACGTCAATACCTTGGTCTTCCCTTTGGCCTCCAACATATTTGCTGGAAAAGGGTGTTGATCAATTTTCATCGGTTTCTGGGCCTTGAAAGTACCAAACTTAATTCTCCCAGATTCAATAGCCAATTGTAACTGTTGCCTGAACACCTTGCACTCATTTGTACTGTGTGAAGTTGCATTGTGCCATTTGCAGTACAAGATCTTCTTCAACTCTTCGCCGATGGGATCACATGATTAGGTGATGACTTAATTTGGCCCTCTGAAGCAGAAGATCAAATATCTTGTCGGCCTTGGTGATATCAAAGGTAAACTTTTTTCGCTCTTTTCGACCAAAGGGACAAGATATCGGTTTTTATTCTTAACCCACTCACTAAGCCGATAAGCGGTTCTTCATCGTAATCGAGAATCTCCTACTTCTTCAACAAATGATACTTTTTTACTCCAATTCTTTTTAGGTTCAAAATCCTAGTATCTTGATCGGAGATCCTTTGCACAAGATGACCGAGGCTTTCAAACTCCGAGAAGCATATCTGTCTTTAAGATGTGGCAATAACCCTTGAAAGCGGATCGGCAAGTCTGCCGATCATCCAAAGACTGCATCAGTAGCACTTATTTTTTTACATCTCGTAGCCTTTGCACAAAGCTTTCTACCGATTCATCATTACTGTTGTCTCAATTTTACTAAATCGGTAAGCTTCTTTTCATGGATTACAAGAAAGAAATACTTATGAAATTGTTTTTCTAGATCAGCCCAAGTAATAATAGAATTTGGTGGTAATGAAATGAACCATGTAAATGCCGATCCGCATAAAGATGATGAAAATAATCGAACTCTTAATTCATCTCTCGCTAGTTGCCTCTCCACATTGAATAATGAAGCGATTGATGTGTTCCATTGTTGATGTATCATCTTGCCAGAGAATTTAGTAAAATCTGGTACCTTGTACCGATTTGGGAGAGGAATTAAATCATATGCAGGAGGGTATGGAGTCCGATAAGAATAAGTATTGACCTTGGGCTTTATCCCAAACCGATCCTTCATAATTTTCGCTATCTATCTATTTAAAAAGCATCGACCTCCTGCCGATTTAATCTGGCTGAATTTCTACAGAGGTACTGTTGATATCCTTCCACATATCTTTGTGGCCCACGATCTCCAAAGACAATCGGCATATTTGCCGTTACTTGTGGTCCATTAACTTTCTTTGGAAAGGATTCATCTAATTTGAAATGCCGATGCTTGATTCTCGAAACCAACTTGCATATGACCTTGTTGAATCCTCGCAACTCTTGATTTTCTTTGAATCAGTATGTTGAGCAGTAATCGCTCCGACCAACCATTATTGGAACTCATCGGTACAAAACTTACCGATGGCTGGTAATTCTTCGACATTGTTGGATAATTATAACCCGACTTGAGGCATGAACCGAACCCAGTTTGACTCATAGTAGTGGTTTCTGCTTTGCATCGGTAGTAAGCTTGCCGATGGACATGAATTGGGTGTTTGAACCAAAGGCATCTGGAAACCTCCCGGAGTTGGTTGCACGATGAGTTCTTTGTGGCATATTGAGCACTTGAGCCATCGGTAAACAAATTGATGGTATAGGAGCTTTTCCTCTTGCATCAAACACTTGAGGTAACCCGAGATTGAAAGCGATGATGACTCGGAGGCATACCATATCCCCACCAATTAGCGGTGAATCGGCTATTCGAGACACGAGGGCTGACATAGCCGATGCCGATAGATCTCGTATTAAGCTGAACTCGTCCTCCCGGTAGTACCGGATCCGATCGTATCGGTGTAGATTGAATATTAGGCAAGCCTACCGATCATCGGAGGAGAAGTAACTTCTGTACCACTAGCCGAGGGAGCCGATGGAGTATTGACAGATGCCGGCTACGGTTGGTGATAGGCGGGCCCAACGTAATGCGGTGACGCTTGTCCTTCTTTGAGAGTTCGAACCACAAGCATTATGAATGTGATTGGACAAAGACATTGGAATGATTAATCAAAGCATGATTTATTGCAGAATTAACCATCTCTTGAAGTTTACCAGGATTGGAGTCAAAGGTAACCTACCGAGGCAACGGCAAATCTTGCTTCTGGATGACTTGCCCACTCTTGCTCAAGCTAAACGATCTCAGATAAAGATGCCTATATTCTTCTATAGCCTTTTCCATAGCCTGCCTCTGCTCTTCCTTAAGATCTTCTTCTGATACCGCGATAATGTTCCCTGAATCGATCTCGGGATTGATCATATTGATCGGATTGATGTGTCCCACCAGGCGTGCCAAAAGATGTGTTGATGCAAAAGTGAATCTGCAAACACAAATGGCTAATACCCGAATCGATATCCAAAGCGTGCCAGTCGATTTGACCTATTAATCGACAAGGATGAAGATACGAGCACTTTGGTCCTGACAACAGCGATACGCCCGGAAGTCACGGCCAAGAGGTACTCACGCGGAACTCGAGAATCGCCGAAGGTTGCACTGAAACGATGCAACTCGCCGAATCAATGAGAACTCATAAAAAGGAAAAATATGCAAATTGACGAAGTCGTCGAAAAGTAAGTAGATGCAAATAGGAGTAAAAATTGGTTTTTGATATTGATTTTTTTATTACATTGCCCCTAAATCTATATTTATACCCTGATCTAAAGAGACAAAACCAAATACGACTAGGACACCAAGTCCATATCTAAGGAAACACGTGACTCTTACATGAATCATACTCTAACAAATATAGAAAAAGAAATCAACTCCTATCTATTTCCCTGTCCGCCTCGATTACGATGGAATTTTCACTGACCTCCTTTCCATCGGCATACTTCCTGTTTCATCGGCAGTAGTTTTCAAGCCTTCCTTCATCGGCATCGACACTAATATCTCCAACCTTATCGGCAACACCCGAGTCTAAATCAACCTTTCCATCGATCACCACCATTCATCGGCAACCATCTTTACAAGCTGATTTTCACGGCTGTCAGCGTATACAATAACTCTCCTCCTGCCGATTAGCCCACTCTGATCATTTTGACACGTGCAAAAAACGGTGTCAACAGTAATTATGTCGCTGGTTAGTGGTTACTTACATACAGAAGTAAAATCATGTCTCGATCCGACGTACAGTGAATGGGCTAATTTCTTGACGACCGCTGGCTTGGAAAGTTGGAATGCCGGTAAGCAGTTCCGGCTGATTTGTTGCGAGAGAAAAATACTATTTCGGCTGAAAAAAACAAGCTGAAAAAGACGGATTATAAAAAAAACGAACGTGGCCAAAGTTTGCAGCCATGTTACACTCGCGGATATATGTGACTGTGACATGATTACATGAACCTATATAATAGAAAAAATAAGATAGTATTTTTGAAGCAGTTGGTGGACGAAAGTGCTTCTGTATGCGTCTGTGGATGGATTTGTTTCCTAGTTGCCTCTGCTGTATGCAAGAGCAACCATCAAGAACATGACCATGGCTAGCTGGACTCCCAGATGTGCAACTGTGCAATTGACCGAGTGAATTCGGCTGGCACTGGGTCCTATTTACAGTACGGTTCTATATTTGCCTCCATGAATTCAGTGGCAGCGAAATGTAACCGATTCGACGTTGCAACTTGCAAACAGCAGGGAGCTCACGGTAATGTCCTGGTCGCGCGCGCGGGACATGGCAGCCGTTGCACCATTGAAGCTGACGGACAGGGGAAGAGACGAGAGAGACGCTGCCGTGCTGGCTGTGCTCTGACTTCTGAAGAAACCAATCCAAGCCTGATGAAGATCAAGCCTGGACCTCAACGGACAAACGGCCTAGCTGAGCTGCACCTGCGTCGCAACGACAACGACAACGACGACGAACCGGAGCACGCGACTGACTGTTGGTTTGGTTAGGTTTGGTTCGGTAGCGGGCACTGAGCTGGAGCTGGTACGTTTGACTCTTCAGAACCCCATGCGGTGCGCTGCGCTCCGGCAGCGAGACCGAGACCGATGGCCTCGTCCCACCTGGCAGCTCTCGCCTCCCTGCTTCTCCCCTGCCTCCTCGCGCTGCTGCTTCTCCGCCTCGCCGCCGTGCTGGACCCGGACCCCGACGCCGCCGTGCCCCGCGTCAAGGTGGCCGCGCCCCTCCCCCTCCGCTTCCGCCATGACGGCGCCTTCAAGATCCTCCAGGTGCGTGCCGCTCGCTCCCCCAGCGCCCCACCCCTCCTGTCCGCTCCCCGCGCGTTCGTCTCGGAAGCTTATGAGTGCTGATCTCGCTCTCTGTCGCTGCTGCTGCTGCTAGGTGGCGGACATGCACTTCGGCAACGGCGCCGCCACGCGCTGCCGGGACGTGGGCCCCGACGGCGGCGGCGCGCTGTGCTCCGACCTCAACACCACGCGGTTCCTGCGCCGGGTCATCGAGGCCGAGAAGCCCGACCTCATCGCCTTCACTGGTGCGCTTCTCTCTCCTCTATTTCTATTTATTAGAGCGTCGACCGTCGCCGAGCGTATCGTGGCCGGGGAAACTCGATTTGGCAGTCGTCGGGCTCGCGCTGAGCTCGACTGTGAGCAGGGGAGCCTGATTTGGCCCTCGACGGCCTTGATTTCGGCAGCCCTGTGCTCGGCTGTCGAGACGCAAGCGCTGGCGGCCAACCTTGACAGCGCACGCAGCTGGGCATGAGTGCCAAATTTGGTTCTCCTGGGCAAACTAAAATTCTTTGCGCTATCAAACGAGTATCCTTGCCGGCCGGGCAAGGCGAGGAGAAACTGTCCCTTGCTCGTATTGTGCTGTGTGCAAACCTCCTGCTGAGCAAGCATAGTTGCTGTGAGATAGATGCGACCGTTTAGCTAGTCAATTTACCTGTAACTGTAACGCTGGGCAATTAAGTAGTGCTCCGTACAGTGGAATTTGCTAGCTGGGTTTGTCAATGGTTTCTAGATGGATTCAGAGGGACGGTTGGGACTTGCATTGCACTCTTGACTCTTGTTGCGGTCTTATTTATTGCATGTTTGCAAACAGTTTGCCAGTTTTCAGCTTCTATGGTTTACTATTCTCTAGCAGTTTATTGCTTGCTTTACAAATCAATGTGGAGACATGCTTAAGGCTTTTCAAAACCAACAGCTATTGCTGTTATCTGTCCAGGTAGGGAAGTTTTAGACTATAATCACTAGCTATAAACTTCTCCATATACATCCTAAGCAAGTTTGTTAGTAAAACTCTATCATCCAAGTGTAACTACTACCTTCCGTTGCTCTCTGTAAAATCTGGCAACATCCTATTTTGGTAATGCGTGCAGTGAACGACTTGTCCTTTTCGGCTCCTAGACAACGAGGTTGTTTCCCATTTCTTCCTTTATAAGCAAAAGGGGAACATTCTAGTTTACTTTTAATGCTCACGTTGGTTTAATTTGGATCAGGGGACAACATATTTGGTGGCAGTGCAACTGATGCAGCAGAATCACTACTCAGAGCAATCAGCCCTGCTATCGAATACAAGGTGCCATGGGCTGCCATTTTAGGTAATCATGACCAAGAGTCAACAATGACCCGAGAGGAGCTGATGACCTTCATGTCTCTGATGGATTACTCTGTATCTCAAGTAAACCCACCTGGTTTCTTGGTACATGGGTTTGGGAATTATCATATTGGCATCCATGGGCCATTTGGATCCGAGTTGGTCAATACTAGCCTGCTTAACCTTTACTTCCTGGATAGCGGTGATCGTCAAGTGGTGAATGGCGTCAAAACATATGGATGGATCAAAGAATCTCAACTCGACTGGCTTCGTGCTACTTCACTGGAGCTTCAGGTACTTCTGACTATTATTGATAACCAAATCACACACAACATCTGAAGTTGTATTGTAAATTGTGTACACTAAAACATAAAGTGTTAGAAACTCGTGAACAAATTTAGGACCAACAGTTAATCAAATCAAGATTGCTTAGATATCATTTGTTCATATTCAAACACAATCCTTGAATATATACTCTGTAATCTTTATATGATTGTAATAAACCTTAGTTACTAATTACTCTATATGCTTTTTAATCCAAGAAATTTTCCTCTTTGCATCTCACCTCCATGTGTTTAGTTGAAACTTGAAACCTTGCCTTGAGCTATGTGTTCATTGTGGCAATCGATACATGTATACTTGGTAGTCGTGATGACACACATAATGCATATATGAATTGGTTTAGGTTCTATTTTCTATATTAAAAATGACATAAGTGGGCAATTTCAGAATCATATATAGGAGTGCTTTGGAATACTTTCTTGTTTAATAATGTTATGTAGATGATTTAGATATAGATTTAGGGGTTACTCTGGGTTATTTTTAATAATGGCATAGGTGGGTAACATGAATGCAAATTTATGGGTTACTTTAGATTAATTTTCATAATGACATAGGGGGCAATTTGGATACAGATTACAGGTTATGTTAGATTATTTTTTAATAATGTCAAAGGCGTGTAGTTTTGTGCTTATGTGTAGTACCTGAAATTTACCTATGTTTGACAGAAAAAAACACATGCCCCTGCATTAGCCTTCTTCCACATCCCAATCCCAGAGGTCCGAGGACTCTGGTACTCAGGCTTCAAGGGTCAGTATCAGGAGGGAGTGGCTTGCTCATCTGTAAATTCTGGTGTTCTTGGGACCCTTGTCTCCATGGGAGATGTAAAAGCCGTCTTTCTTGGTCACGACCATCTGAATGATTTTTGTGGCAACCTCAATGGGATTTGGTTCTGTTATGGTGGTGGCTTCGGTTATCATGCCTATGGAAGACCCCATTGGCCAAGGAGAGCTCGGATAATTTACAGCGAACTGAAGAAAGGGCAGAGATCATGGATGGAAGTTGAATCAATCCAGACTTGGAAGCTGCTAGATGATGAAAAGCTTTCCAAAATTGATGAACAGGTTCTCTGGAGACACAATACAGATGATTCTGACCACAGTGTATACTTGTGAAGACCAGGAGCCTAAGACTACTTCCTATATGTGTCATGTGTATAGTGTTTGTCGCTGAGAGTCCTCCAGTTTTGTAGGTTGATTCATTATTGGAAGTATGATCTGCCATGGACCAATTTAGATTTCACATTTGGTTCCATGTTGATATGCTAACCCTGGTTCGGGTCATTGACCTGTTTTCGACCTTCTTGTGGAGCTGGACATTGGTCCCCTGAGTTTGGGAGCAATGTTTTCGGGTCGTTCACAACAGATGATTCAGACCACAATGTTTACTTGTCAAGGCCAGAGACCTAAGATAACTTCCAGCTTGTGTCATCAGTTCCATGTTTAATATTTATAAACAAGTACAGTACAGTTTTGTAGGTTCGCTGAATTATTCTTGGCAATATGGGTATGCTAAGATCCGAAAACAGACAACATTTAATGACAATACTGATATGTCAATTCCCTGATTAGGGTTGCTGAGCATTATTTTCGACGTTCTTATGAAACTGACAATTTTGTTCCCTTGTCTACCAACCTTTATTAGATGGGCTTTTTACCCGTGTGCCATTATAAAAGATCCAAATGATATATGTACCATCGAATTTTTGAAAAGTTCCTCACCACCCTTGTCTAAAGTTTCTTTCGCCTGAATGCCACTCTCGTCACCTTACCGTTTGTTTTTAACAGAGCTGGCAGGCAACTAGACATGAAATGACTCCTTTGCCTATTACTGTGTCCGGTCAATTCCCCATCATCCATGGGCTTCTCGTTGGACTCTCTGGTTCATTCCCCACTCCTATCCAAACCTTAAGCAGGCTAGCCACTCAGGTCGGCGGGGAGGGAGCTCGCGGGTGAGGCGCGGCCGCTGCAGGTGGTTCGCGCGTGCGGGGAGGATCTGCGCGGGCGCGGGCTTGCGCGCGGGGAAGCGAGTCACGGCGCGGTGCGCTTCTGTAGGGCTTCGCGCGGGCGGGCGAGATGGCGTAGCGGCAGAGCGGAGACAGGCGGGCGCGAGCACGGTGCCTAGGCAGGCGGGCTCACGGGCCCTGAGGAGCAGAGAACCAGTGGAAGCACTTGGTGGCGCTCGCCATCGTCGCAATCCTCGGCCTCGTCCTCGTCGCCAGCCCCGCCGGTTCGACGCCGCCCGTCGCGAAGAAGGTGAAGCCTCCCCTTTCTCACGCGCCCAATGCTTAGGAATGAGAGATTGCTGCCGGCTTCCGTCCCGTGCACGCGAAAATAATAATTTGCTGGCCGGCGCGATTATACGGTCCGAACACCCGGACCGTAGCAGCCCCCGCTGGAGACATCTTTTAATTTGGGCCAGCTGTGCTTCCAGCCCAGCCCGGCCGTGCTGTCAGTCAGGTAAGAAAACCATGTATGCAGGGATACAAGTTTCACACAATTTTTTTTCCACAAGGCGTAAGTTCATGTTTTTTTGGCCTGGTACACGGAAACGACGTAATTTTGGTTTTGGGCCTTTCGATCTGCATCTGTGCAGTTGAATTACGGATGTATGTATCCGTGACGTGGAGGTTGGAATATTTCATTATCTGAAAATCTGGGTAGTTGAATTGCCGTAGTGATCTGCATATTTGGAGGGAGCTGAAGTAGAATAATGTGTGCATGTACTTATTTCAAGTTTCTTCTTGCTAGCTGTACGCTGATCTACCTCGTAAGATTGTTGGATGTGATGTTCTAGTGTACCATATGTATCGCAACCACTACCTGATAGACTTGTATTAGCAACTCAAGGTACTATGTGGCAACCACTGCACGTTGCTTCAGGTGCACAGGCAGGCGAGCTCACGGGCCCTGAGGAGCAGAGGACCAGTGGAGGCGCATCCTGAGGACCAAAGGAGCAGAGGAGGGAGGAATTGTTGTGGATTCATAAAAGATGGTGGACGGACGACCAGCTTGGCTTCCAGATGGGTGAGTGTCCCTTTTTTTCCTCAAATGCATACATTAGTTCCATGTTTTGGTGTTGTTTGGACTGAATTGAACTGCATAGATGTTAGTAAATCGTATTTGTTCATGTGTAGGAATGACATCGAGACCAGTTTCAATCTAGAAATCAGGATAATTGGTCCAACTATGCGAGGACCATGGTATGGCATTAATAAAGTTGTTAATTCAGACACCACAAATTTTAAAGACCTTGTTGATGAAATTCTGGATCAGTTTCCTTGCGGGTATGGTGATGTAGTGAAGTTGTTCTATTTCTGTGCTGATAGCAAGTCCAACATACAAATTCATTCAGACCAAGAGTTAATGCATATGTTCGCGAAACATATGAGCTCCAAGTGTTGTTGCATGTCAATTGCATATCATAAATCTGATGTTGATCCACCAGAAATCCCACTATGGGACAATGTTGACATCCCATGCACCCCATCAATGCCAGCCCCTAGCTACGTAGAACCTAGCAAAGCAACCCAAACTGGGACTGCTACAGAACCAGATGATGACATGGTAGATGTTGAGGATACTTATCTTAAGAATCCTGAACCAGAGAATGAACATGTGGGGGTTGATGAGGAGGGTTTATACCTTGACATAGTACCTGCTTCTCATGCAAATGTTGACACAACTGACAAAAAGGATGAAGATTATGATTCAGGTTTAAACTCTGAATCTGATTCTATGTCTGACTCCGATATGGATGATGAGGTAGATGAGATTGTTAATGATAGATTGCCATCTGACATGCCTCAAGTTGCATACAACAAAGATGACCCTCCTATGGAAGTAGGGAGCATCTATCCAAACATGCCTGAATTTAAGTTGGCTCTTGTAACACATGCTATCAAGAAAGAATTTGAGTATAACATTGAAAAGAGTGAACCAGGGAAGTATCGGGCATACTGCGCGGGAGTGGAAGATGGTTGTAACTGGAGGCTTCATGCATCGACAATGAGTGATAAAGTTACTATACAGGTAATTTCTCTTTTATTTATTTTAGTAGTTTGTTCATATTTCTGAATTTATTTCAGTACTGTGTTCACACTTCTGAAATTATTCTAGTCTAATTGAAACTAAACTTTGTAGGTCAAGGTGAACCCTTGTGATCATAAATGTCAAAGTAGTAGGAGGATTGGAAAAGTCAAACATGCTACCAAGTTTTGGATTTGTGAGAAGATAAAGGATTGGTTAGCTGAGGACCCCACTGTTCGGCCCAAAGAACTTAGGAGAAGATTGAAGGATGATTGGAAGATCAGTATCAGCTACAAGAAAGTGTATGATAGAAAGGCACTTGCTATGGACGAGTTGTATGGTAACTGGAATGAAAGTTTTGACAACTTGTACAGGTTTAAGGCATAGATAGAACAATCTTGTCCTGGCAGCTTTGTTGTCATTGATCATCATACAATAGAGGATAAGATCAGATTCAATAGGCTTTTTTTTGCAATAAAACCTTGTGTTGAAGGTTTCCTTAGAGGTTGCAGGCCTTATCTAGCTGTTGATAGTACATTCTTAACTGGAAAATTTAGAGGTCAATTATGCATTGCTTGTGCAGTCGATGGGCACAAATGGATGTACTCAGTTGCTAGAGGAGTCATTGATTCTGAAACCAACAAAAACTAGATTTGATTCATGGAAAGGCTTAAGGAAGCTATAGTTACCCCACCTAGTCTGACCTTTTGCACAGATTGTGGTCAGGCAGTCATGATAGGAGTTAGTGAGGTATTCTCAAATGCAGAGCATATAGAGTGCATATGGCACTTGGTGTAGAATTTTAAGAAAAGGTTCAGTGAAAAAGTTTTTGATGAACATTTGTGGGCTGCTGCTTATTCTTGGAATTCATATATGTTTGAAAAACATATCAAGGCCATGGCTGAAGCAAATCCAGCAGTAATGACATACTTGCAGCAAACTCATACAAAACTGTGGACAAGAAGTCAGCACTCTATATTGTCAAAAGTTGACTATGTCACCAATAATTTAGCAGAAAGCTTCAACAATTGGATAAAAGCTGATAAGGGGCTGCATCTAGATGACTTGATGGATACTATAAGATAGAAGCTTCTAATCAAGTGGAACCAGAGGAAAAAATTGCATATAGAATGGAAGGAAAATTTTTGCCACACATCATAAGTCAACTAAAGGAGCAAAGTAGGAACCTTGACATTGATGTTGTGACTAGCTCACTTGATGGCATTGCAGAGGTTATGGCAAGGGGAGGTTCTACTTACAGGTTTGTTGTGAACCTAAAGGAAAGAACATGCTCTTGTAGAGCATGGGACATTTCTAGATTACCATGTAAGCATGTAATTGCCTACATCACCTCTATACCTAGAGAGAAGATAGAAGATCATGTGGACAACTACTACTCTGTATAGAGCTTCATGGCTGCATATGATGGTACAATCCCTTCTATACCAGACAAATCCATGTGGCCCCAAAAAAAACTTGGTTTCTTCCTGCATCGTCCATTGTTGAAGTCAACGGCTGGTAGGAGAAGGCAAAATAGATACAAGGGCGTAGCAGAGGGTGGCAGCAAAGGAGGCAAGGGTACGCATCAGTGTCCGATCTGTCAGCAATATGGACATCATTGGTACACTTGTAAGGATGGTGACCCAGCAGACATAGCAGCAATGCTTGCGGAAAGGTAACATAGAAGTGCCAATTTATTCTGCAATTATTTCCTTTTATAGTGCCAATTTATTCTGCAATTATTTCCTTTAGTGGTAGAAGACCATGTTCCTGTTCCATTTCTGTTCGCAGCAAGTCTTGCTTCTACTTGTGCTCGTGCAAATGGCAATGCCTTTGTCTTCTAAGTTGCAGTTCAAGTACATTGTCCCCAATTCATAGTCTGTTATTTCATAGCGAGACTTTGTTGTTATTTTGACTGTTTGCTTGCCCAGTATACTCTGAGACTATATCCATTGTCTGTTATCATTTATGTATTTGAGACTATAATTACTGGATGTTTACATTGTTGCTAACCTATCTGTCCATGTAGAGGTCCACCTAAAAAGAAGAAAAAGAAGATAGAACTAGCTACTACTGAGACTAGCATT